GAGGTGGGTTTCCTGGGTCCCTTGATCCCACGACCATGGGTAATCGATGTAATTTCAGCAACTAGGTCCAGTCTGTACGGCCACGGGTTGCATGACCAGCTGTGTGGCTAGAGGGCTCAATGAGGAGTGTGGTGAACCTGCTGGAACGATCGTGATGGTAAGCTGGTTACTGTAGCATTGGTCAGGTGCAAGTATCGAATTTCTCATTTAGGAAGCCGTTTTGAGGCCGTTCATCAAAGCTGCCACTATTCTCGAAGAGCTTGGGCCACGTGCCAAAGGACTCGTTGCTCGTCAGATGCCGGAAGAATGCCGATTCCTAGTCGAGATGGAGCAGCTTCAGAATATCATCAACGGAACTGAGCCGGTAGGGCAGGGTTTAGCATTGACGCTACTAGCGCCTCTATAATGTTTGCTTGAGGAGGAGGCAAGCAGTGAGGAAGGTATTGACAGCGGTATGGAAGGCAGTTCGAACAGCACTATGGAAGGAAGTGCCGAAGGTAGCGGCGGCGAGAGTACCGGCGAAGAAAGCGGTGGCGGTGAAGAGGAGAAGTCTGAGCAGTCGGTCAGGTGGCGTGGACACCCGCTTGCCTTCCCGGCCTTCAACAGAGCTCATAAAGTTGTCGTCATCGCCACAAAATGTAAGTTGGTCCTTGGCTTCTGTAAGGAAAAGCTGTTTATGAGACCTGGGCTATACAAGTAGGGTGGGCACGCCCATTTTTGAAGAGAAATATATGTAGTGGGACTGCTGCTCGCTACTACTGTCACGAGAATCGGGGAATTCGTGAGCCAGGGGAGTGTAGCCAATCTAGGGGTGAGGGCAGTCACTTGACATGCGTGAAAAGCTGAGCCTGCCCACCCCACTTGTATAGGGACGAAACCTGATTTCTTCGAAGTCCTAAGGGCTCGACTGATTTTACTCTATTTCAGCACGTTATGCGAGATCTCCCAACTCAAGGGACAATTCAAGGGAAGTAGTGAGCAATATCCTCCTCGGGAGGAACGTCACTATTCCGCGTTCTCGTGAACACGATAGCCGTAATGACAGCCGCGAGCGTCTGAGAGCGGTCCGCGTGCAGAACTGAAGAAGTCGAATCGTGCTAGGACAAGCTCTTACCATTGAAAGTTTTATAATATCTATTTGTACCTACAAGCTGTGATTTTAAGTGTGATAATATGTTCCATTTACTTGATAATAAATATCATTTTTAATGGATTGTTGGCAAGATAATTTGAAATCGGAAATCGATATTTTGAAGCCTTTTTTGGTTTGCTCGACGATCGAAGCACAGCACTCAAGCGGTCTTTAGAAGGCAAGGAGCTAAAGGTAGGGGTGCAATATTCGGGCAGGAATGCTTCCCTTTGAGATTCTTGTTAAGGATTTCAACTTTTTTACCGAACAGATACCAAAATAAAAGCTTAATACATGAAAAAAGTGCAAAGAAAACGAGGCTGGGTTGTGACTTTCAAGGACACCGAGACCTCTGCTGCGGTTCATCTTGCGCAATATTGCGGAGTCATTACGGTATCATCAAATGCGCACACTGTAAAACCCGCCTTGGACGCTACCGTAGTATAGGAGGCATCCTTTAAGACTAAGTCCTAATAGCACGCAGGCCCCCCTACCTAAGGCTTAGTCACGTTTTCACCGGCGAAAAAGCTTGTTCTACGAGGATTTTAATGTATCGCCATCGTAATGCCCCCGTATATTGCGCCCCCGCTTTGGTTTTCCCGGCCGATATCTCGCACTGCACTCCGTAACAAACGCCGTAAAGCCTAGCGTTAGAGCTTGAACAAAAGAAATATCAAGAAGCTTATCATTAGATGGTACTCGCATTGACAATAACACTTGATTTACATGCATTTCAAGTGTGCATTTTAACAAATGAGCTATATCAGAGTAAGTTTCATTTGCGTATTCATTCGCACAGCTGATCGTCGATATCTCAATGGCGTCAATGCGGTTGGTTCTACATATACAGTATTTCAGTGAAGGAGATCTCTAGACCAGGGCGAACATGCGTTGGACTTCGTCC